TTTTTTTTTTTTTTTTTTTTTTTTTTTTTTTTGAGATGGGTAAGGGGATCACAACCCTTGGCTTGGTGTCGCTCACACCGAGCTAAACCAGTGAGCAAACCAGCCATCCCTATATAGGATCTGAACCCACGGTGGGAGCGCCACTGCGCTCCCAGCGCCGCACTCTCCCGAGTGAGCCACGGGGTGAGCCACGGGGTCGGCCCAGTTGGAAGAATTTTATTTTATTTTACTTATTTATTTATTTTATCCTTTTTGAGCCCGGCCACACCGCGCTCAGCCAGTGAGCGCTGTGAGCGCACCGGTCATCCCTATATAGGATCCGAACCCGCGGCGAGAGCGCTGCTGCACTCCCAGCACCGCACTCTCCCAAGTGCGCCACAGGCTCACCTGGAAGAATTTTAAAAGAGGACTTAGGTCTTTCCAGAAAGCACAGACTCCAAGCCACGCCTGTGTCTGCAATTGCTCTCCCTGCATTTTCCTTTCTTTTTCTTTTCTTTCTTTCTTTTTCTTTTTTTTTTTTTTTTTTTTTTTTTTTTTTTTCGTGGCGGGGACATACAGGGATTGAACGCTGGACTATCAGCACTACGCTCTGCATCTTCCTTTCTAACCGCCACCTATAGACAACCAGCTTCAGCTCCCACTTGTGGCATTACAGCCCGCATGTGATCTTCATTCCTGAATGCTTCAGTACATAAGTCTTGCTTCACCAGCACCCACAATTATGTAAAGCCAATCAGTCTCAATTTTAGTCCCTCTCTCTCTCTCTCTCTCTCTACACACACACACACACACACACTAATTTACATATGCATGTATATATACAAACACATATGTGTATACATTCATGTGTATGTGTGTCTCCTACTGGCTTGGTTCTGCTTCTTTGATGCATATGCTTGGATTAGAAAAGAGAAAAGGCTGAAATTCAGTGACATTTATAGAAGGTGGAAAATAAACAGCAAAATAAACCCTAGGAAAATCGAAGATAAAAAATATATTAGAAAACAAATATACAGTAGAAAGGATCTACAAAGCCTGAAGTTGGTTAATTGACAAGACTAATTAAATCAACAAACCTTTGTAGAGGGAGTAGAAATTAAACTGATAATAAACAATATTATGAACAAATCTATGTCAGTAGGTTTTGGTGATTTGGGGTTTTTTTGATTTGTTTTGTTTTTGGTGGCTGGCCAGTATGGGAATCAAACTCTGGACCTTGGTGTCATCAGCACCACACTCTAACCAACTGAGCTAACCAGCCAGCCTCCAGCCAATAGGTTTTAAAACTTATAACACATGTATAAATTACTAGTAAAGTATACCTTTATTTAAGTCAACAATACATAAACAACCTGAATAATTCTTTAGCCAGTAGAGAAACTGAATCCATTAAAAAAAAAAAAAACTTCTCACAATGAAATCATCAAACCTAAATAATACTAGCAAACCAAATGCAACAGCATATTGCATAAGGTCATTAACTATGATGAAGTGGGATTTGTCTCAGGGATGCAAGGATGGTTAAACATATGCAAATCAATAAATGTGATATACCACATTAACGGAAATAAAGACAGAAACCATATGATTATTTCAATTGAGGCAGAAAAAACATTTAACAAAATTCAGCATTTCCTTTATAATAAAAACTCTTAGCAAACTAGGTATTGAAGGTATGTACCTCGATACAGTAAAGTCTATATATGACAAACCCACAGCTAACATTATACTGAATTAGAGAAAGCTGAAACTTTCTCTCTTAGATCACAAACAAGATGAGGATGCCCACTTTCACCACTTCTATTTAATGTAGTACTAGAAGCCCTAGCCAGAGTAATTAGATAAGAGAAAGAAATTAAAGTCATCCAAATTGGAAAGAAGGAAGAAGTCAAACTGTCCCTGTTTACAGATGATATGCTTTTTTTTTTTTTTTTTTTTTTTTTTTTTTTCCCCCCCCC